GCCTGACATCGTGTTCATGGAACGGGCACAATCGCGGGTACTTTTGGTTGACCATTCATATGAAAACCTGAACGAAAACCTCTTGAAAGTCAAAAAAGATAATAACGAAGTATCTGGATATGGCTCACAAGGTGACCGACATGTGGTGTGGTGTGCCGACCGAAATTATCCCGACAGTCGTTTCTGCCAATGTGTTAATCCCAGTCAGCCTCGCTGAACATCTGTGCCGACCGGGACTTCGGGATGGACCGCTCCGAGTTCAAACGTAGAAGTCAGGTACCGTCGGTTCCGAATATTTATACCTACGAGGTAGATCAAAATAATGTACTACAGTACTGTACACTTTAAACAGATATTCAAAAAACGTCGGTTATGGTATATGTCTATCTATTAGGGATAACCTCAATAACCATTTTTTATCCTTTACTTTTTAGGATATATAACAGCTTCTTTAAGTAGCGATTTTAAGCAATACAGCATTAATCCTTATCCAATTAAGTACTTTAAATATATTGTGCATTCAATATAGATTAATACGGCCCTTTAGAGCATGTAATCTAAATGAATATTTTTGAATTTGGCCTTTATACGTCCTATAACAAACATTATTTACTTCATAAAAGTAATTAGTACCTGGATTCTTTTCGCATTAAAAATAATTGAGAAACATAATTATTAATTCCGTTTTTCCTATCGACTGTAAAAAAAATATTATTCAAAAAACAAATTTAAAGTAAACCGGAACACACTTTGGTTCCGTCGTGTGTTTTTCATGTCTTTCTACTGTCGTAATTTAAATAATTTAGCAGAATAATGTAAATCCAAATTGGATTTATGCTTTAGTAATAAGATTTATATATATTCAACAAAGTGCTGTGGATTTTGTTAAAACAATAAAATAAAAAATAAAATACAATTAATAGAACAGTTAAACTTTCTTATTTGCGTCGTTCGATGTTTAAATGTAATAAGTGTTATATTAAATTGATTTCACTCTGCTTTATTGGAAACGTGTTGTTTTTCCGAGTGAGGTGTTTCGCAACCGCGGAAGCCGTAAAGTTTTATTATTTTTCTCGAAGTCTCACGGAAACTTCAATTTATATTCGTAATAATAAGTTCAATCAAGTGTTTCTATTTAATTTCCCTAATTAACAGTATAACTTCAATAAGAATTAGAAGATGAAATGGAATAAGCACGATTTGTTTAATTTTGATTTAATTAATTGAATTCAATAAATAGGATTGATCTTATGATGCCATCATAAGATTAATCTTTGTTACAAGCTGCAAGTGAAGTTATTTTAATAACAGTCAATATTTTTCACTTCAATTTCAGGTTTAAACTTTAAGGAGCTTTAAGAATTATCGCAAAATATGGTGAATAGTTCTTCAATGTTAGATGATACTCAGGAAGATGATGAAGTCCAACAGATATTTTTCTCTTAGATATTCGATGACCGCTAGCTAGTCAAAGTGTAATGCAATTGCTAAGTGCCTCTAACACATTAGACATTTCAATATATTAAGTTTTTGAAGTTAGTTATCGCGTTTGGAAAATATTATGAGAGTAAATTTTTTAGGAAGCGTTTAAGTAATGCTTTGTAAAAAGAGAGTAAAAAATTTAAATTCTAATTTATAGTTTGTAAAATTGCTTGTCCCAAAATCGTAAAAAAGCAAAAGGTATTTTTATCGTTGAATCTCTTTGGTACACGATTTAAATCTAAGAAGATTAAAGCAATAACCGACCGTAATACTCAAAGCAACAAAAGGTATGTTTACATAGGTAATGAGAGTGATCTTCATCGCTTAGCGACTTTTCCTAATTCTTTCTTTTTTATGTCAAAAGTTGCCAAGTGAACAGGTGGTTAACCTGATGTTAAGTGAGTATTATATTTTTGCATTAAGTGTGGTGGTTGAAGTAACCGGGGCAAATTTATTTAAAGTTTGTATTTGTGTGTCAATGCATCTGCAAGCAGTCAGGTGTTGTAGACGTCCATGGGCAGCGTATTTACTTTACATCAGGTTAACCACCTTTGATAACATTCCACATAAAAGAAAATAATGGAACGTTTCGATTCGAAACGTTCGAAATCGATTTAAACTGCGGTAGGGCCAAATAACAGTCTTTTCAGATACCAAAAAAAAAAGGTCCGTCCTACCCGGACGGATCTGCCTCTCAATTTATTATCCTAAAGTGAGAGCAATGTTTAAAAAAAATTAGTTCCAGTTTGAACGAACGCGCATATATTAACAAGTACCTACAAATAAGAGACAAACAAACAAACGCAATAGTATTCTCTGTGACACGAATGGGCAGGTCCGTCCGGGTAAGTGTCACGACCTCACAGAAGGCCGACGTGAAGTGGAAGTGTTATACTTCTGCGTTTCTTCTGGTGAGTGAGGTAACCGGGGCCGACTTTATAAAAAAGGTGTCAACGCATCTGCAACCCTACGGGTGTTGCAAATGATAATGGGCGGGTCGTTTGCCACATAAAAAGTAGTATGGTGCGGACCTCACTCCTCTTCTGCTGCCAGCTTGATTCAGCTGGCAACGTCGACGGCCACAATCGATGAAACATTGGTGGAACGGTTTTCTTGAAGTAGAATGAATAAAGATCATATACTAAAGGTCAAGTACAAGACAAGAGCTTGTGTCAAGATCAGCAAGTTTATGGACACCATCTTCTGCTATAAATTACTTACATTTTAAGTTTTTCTGCTCGATTCCGGTAAGTTTCTAAAGAGTTAAAAAACACCCCAATCAATTGATATTTGTATATCAATTTGTTTGTATTCGACTAAGAGCACAAAGAAACAAACACAACTATGCTGAAAGTGAAAAGATCTGTCAAAGTAATTTATGCAGATAAATAAAATTGAAGTGTTCAAGTTTTACACGCCACTGAAGAAGCCCTCTCGCTTGTTTCATACTGGCTGGGACAAAATCTTCTAACGCTTAACCCTGGTATAACAAAGTTCCTATGTTTCCATAAATCGGCTTCTTCGGCTCCGCCAACTTTCTTTGAATGCATCAAACTACATTCCCCTCATTGTTCCAATCGTCATCAGGGGAATCTCTGTAACTGTGAACATATTCAGCGTGCTGGCACAATACGGTACCTGGGAATCACATTTGACGATAAATTTACTTTTAAGGACCATGTGGCATCCGTGTCGGGACGAGTAAGAAAAGCCATACACGTTATCAAGACCCTTCGTGATATAGTCGATGGAAAAACTTTAAGAACCGTGTACCTGACCAGTGCCAATCGATTATGAATTACTGCATCTTGACATCCTCCCCATGTCAAGATACAGTAATTCATAGCATCCACCACTCTTATATCTTTGGAATGAACACAGAGAGCAGTTTTAAAAGTGGCCTTGAAAAAACGTGTCAGATATCCGACTGCATGTTTATATGTTCTTAGTGTCAGGAGGCTGTTTTTGTTACGAGTTTCAGTATTAGTACATAAATCTGTTGTTTAGTCCGCCAATTACTTCGACGTACTGTAAAAAATGACGCACACACGCACGCATTCACGCGCACACACACACACACGCACGCACACACGCACGCACACACGCACACACGCACGCACACACGCACGCAGGTACCGCTTCCCTATTTTACCATTTAAATATTCATTAACAGCCCGCAAATCAAACTGTAGATCGTAATATTTATCCCCCATAGGACAGGCAACAGCCTAGTATGGGGGTCAGTTCATAAGGCATAAATGCAGACATTTATTTTTTTTGAAAATAAAGTAATTTGTATTTGTAGTGTCTGTTTGTAATATTAAAATAATCAAAATAACATTTTTTACAATTTTTATCTGTCTGTCTGTTTGTTCCGATTAATCTCTGAAACGGCTTGACTGATTTTGTTGAGACTTTCACTGACAGATAGAAGCTGTAATAAGGAGTAACTTAGGCTACTTTTTCTTGTATTTACGCGATTACACATTATAAATGAAACTAATTTTACGGATTTATCGCGTTTATTTTTAATTTTAATTCCCGACGTTTCGACAGACAGTCTGTCCCGTGACCATGAACGCTGTAAAGGGTTCGAAACGTCGGGAATTAAAATTAAAAATAAACGCGATATATCCGTAAAATTAGTTACATTTAGGCTACTTTTATTTTAGATTTTTTTATTTTAAATTCTACGCGGACGAAGTCGCGGGCACAGCTAGTGTAGAATAAAGTTAAGTTTTGGCAGAAGCGCCTGTTTTTCTCTACGGCATATATGAGTCGTCATAAAGTTTTATTACAGTTCGATAAGAAAACATCGAGAGCACCTGTATCATATCATATATTGGTGAGAAATACACTTAGTATACATATGGTATAATTTATTTTATTAGCTTTGGCGTTTTATTTTGGTGCTCACAGCACCTACTTTACGGTCAATAAACTATTATATCTGTGAGTTTTTTATTGGACAAAGTAGTGATCTAGTTATTACTTGGTTTTAAGTCTAGCCTTTGCACATGGACCTGAGGAACATCCATGGCTACTCCATAGGTGGTCTAAACGATTGCATTGCAATATATTGCGTCGTTCCACCATATTTTTATGATATTATGTACAACATACAATATTACATACAAATAGAGGGAGAGAGTGGGTAGGAGGGAGGTAGATATGTCACTAGAGTATCGAAACTGAGGCACTCAAATTACGCCAATTGGTGTAATTCTATATACTGGTATCTCTTTCCGTATCACACATCTATATCATCTGTCACATTCACTTATATAATATCTCATATAACGTAAAGTGGAAACATTTTTAAATGCTGCGCAGTATTGAGATGCGTCATCTCTATTATTAAACATCATTGGGTTGCCATGTTAAGGCCGCCTGTCCATTGACGCGGAGCGAGGCTGCGGAGCGGTGCGAGCGAGTTTTGTGGAGCGGAGTTGCGGCTATGTTTGTCCATTTATGTTCGGAGCTAGGCAGAATTCACGCAACGAGTCGTACTGGTCTTACTGGTCGAGCTTCAGCGGCATACCATCCCATTCCCCCGTAGCCGGTTCGCTTCCGTTTCCTCGCTCGCTCAGCTTCAGTGGACAGACAGCCTAATACCATAAATTTAGGATCTATGTCATGTACGTTCTAATTTTGTTTATAATTCTATGCCAAATACTGTGTAGTTGGTCGGTTTGCAACCAACTTAATACTGTCGCTTTTTAGCAGTCGGTGTGCGTGCGAGCCTTATAAATTTTACTCTCATATTTTTTTTCCAAACGCGCCAAAGAAGTAGGTTTCAAAAGCAAAGAAGCACGACTCGACTCTCGGCACAATTCCATCTTTTCGTTGTTGATATTCGACGAAGCGATTTGTATTGTCGTTCATCATTTGTGTATAGCAATAAAGCAATAAAAAAGCACAGTGATTAGAACTATAAAAAAAAATCTCAGCACTTGGGATGAAACACTTCGACACAACAACAATTCGCTGCTGTGGGAATCGAACCCACCACAAATCCAGATTACCGCCCAAATTATTCAAATAAAGCATTTGTTATTATTCAATCATAAATTCGCAACTTTATTCAATTCTAGGCGTTAATCAAAAGTCGAGTTTAAATTAATAGGTGATATTAAAAAATATATGCCATCGCAGTATGAGAGATAGCTCAGTGTCCGGGCGCTCACTTTTAATTCAATATACTCGAGCAACCCGAGTTCGATCCCCGGTGCCGGCACCAATGACTTTAAGTGCTGACTTATCACGTGCTCCGCGGTGAAGGAAAACATCGTGAGGAAACCTGCATATTTTCGACATAATAACAAAAAAAATATATTTCTAAGACATGTGAAGTCCGCCAATCCGCAGTGGGGCCGCGTGGTGAACTATGCCCTGATACCCTCTGTATAGAGGTGGCCTTTGCCCAGCAGTGTCTTGTGCAAGCCTGCGGGAAGTCGATGGATGCAGGTGGCACAGGATCAGAGGAGTGGACTCAACTCAGCAGTGGACTCAAACAGGCTGAAATGATAATGATGATGATGATGATGATGATGGAGATTATAAAGATTTGGGAAAAGATTATTTATTTACTAATTTGTGATCAATTAAAATAAAACAATAATCAGGATTGATCAATTTAAAGGGTCTAACCAACCTTTTGGTAACTCAAATGACATTTGACAGCTGATTAGTTAATTTCTACAATGATCAGTGTTTCAGAAACCGGGCGTTAATCTTTCATTTTTCTTTTCTTTTGATCGGTTCAGTAAGATGCTGTGAGTATTCAAAGAGATCGCTGTGAAGCGATAAGGCCACCAAATGGTACATTAATTGCATAAATTTGTTGTTCTATTGTTACTTTTAGGTATACTCTTATTTGTTTGTGTCTTACTCTTATTCATTCAATGTTCCATGCATTTTTAATATTGTCAAGCGTCGCGGTCATACTTGATTTGAATAGTTGAATTGTTAATTCGTACAAATTTTGAAATCAAGGCCCAGTAAACGGGATATTGACTTTTGAAAACTGAAATTTTCATAGAGTCAGCCATTCAATAGTCAAAGAGCGTTTCACGTCGCTTAGAAAATCACCGGTTTACACAAGAACTCGCTTTGACCGCCAGAGCGACATGATCGAATTGCCTTCCCAAAGGTAATAACAACGAACGTGATTAAAGTCATCATTAGCGAGAATGTCATTGCATCCTTTGGGTTAGTAATTTCGCGTATCAGTTCGTACGTTTGTCTTGATCGGGATTAATTGGCGATAAATTGGTTATTTGGTCGCGGTGGTTCCTGGTTAATATGTTAATGAAGGAGAGGCCAGGCCACGCCGAAATAAATCACGGAATACTTATTTTTTTAATGTGAAAAGTTGCCTAGCGAGTAGACGGTTCACCTGATGTTAAGTGAATACCGCCGCCCATGGACATCTCCAGATGCGTTGACAACCGTTTGAAAATTGGACTCCGGCAACCTTACTCACCAAACGAAACGCGAAAGTATTATACTTCCACTTTACGCCGGTCTTCTGTGAGGTCGTGGTACTTACCCGGACGAGCCTGCCCATTCGTGCAACAGCCGAGGTTGCTGCGTGGCCCTACCACTTCATTGTCAACAACCAGATAACATGTCCAAGTAGGATTCCAACCAGTGAAACGAGGGCCTTTAAATGATAACGGATCGATCGTGGATCCAACAAAACGCGGCTGACCTAACTGTAAGCTCCACCAAACGAGGCAACTAACGTCACTATAATTATAGGGATTGCAAATCCGTGATGGGCCTTTGAGATTATCGGCCTATCTTTAATTGCAACAAACTATAAAAATTAGATGTTTATAATATTAATTATTTTACTTTACTTCGTAAAATAATTAATATTATAAATCCTTTAATAGTTATCAGGTACGTCCTTAAGTTGAGCCAGTGCGGACATGCAACAGCAGAAGTAGTTAACAAGATGAATTTAAATGTCTCATGCTTTTAGAAGCTAGCTCAGTATTTACCGCTTTTAAAATTTGATTTATATAAGCGCTTTCCTTGCAAGCAATAAGTAGCTCATATTCAGCTTGCTTATTCTATACCGAACATAAAAAGATACCCTGACTATCACTAGATGCAGTAGTGTTCACCTGCATTTCTGCATGGCGTATACCTCAGGAAATGCGCGTAAGCCGAACGCGAGAATATAATTATATGGACGTTTTAACTGTGTTTGACTTGAACCATCCTATTTAGTCAAATAGAAGAAACCTTCGGTTTTGAGCAATCTATCCGATATACCCAGTTAGATACGATGTTGCATAGCTGGAATGGCTTAAAGTAAGGAGTCATTTTTATTATGGTTTGCACATTTTGAAATAAATAAAATATTTCACTTGGAGTTATCAATTTATTTCAAACATTTTACACGACAAAGTTTACAGTTATAAATGACATTATCAACGTCAAACACAATCACGATTGTATCATTGTTGAGAATAATAGACAAAATATTTTATTATAATTTAACTTTTACACATATTAAATTAATTTTTAAAACATTTAAAAATTGGAAATCTTTCATATAAATTCTTATAACCTACATATGATATCAAAGTTTGTTTGATCAACATTTAAATTCATGGCAGATCCATGTAAGTTAAGTCTGAGTACACATTGCGTCCCTCTGATTTCATAATGTGGATTGAGGTCATTTAATATTAAAGTGTAATAAAAATTACACTTTATAGTAGCTTTTATAAAAATATATCATAATTTTTATAACAAATTTAGACAAAGTTTTTTCTTTTAGCTCTAAATTGAAGTGCTTATATGTCACTCTTTTATCGCATTAAATAACATAAAACTCTGTTACATATTAGGAAAAAATTGCTCCGGCCAATTTAACGTGGTTAGCGATTCGGTATTGTTTTCACCTGTCCAAAACCAGTAACTTCTTATATCCTCTCAATAATGAATGCACCTAATATAAGTGTGTTAAAGCTTTATCTACGAATAATTGTTTTTATAAATATATCGTTAATATTTTATGTAAAATAACTTTTACAAATTAATAAATTGAATGATTCGGGCTCTTTAAACTTAAACATATATTATAACACATCATAACTTATGAGATCAGTCCTCCTTTTCTTATAACTATTAAAGTAGTAAGAGACAGAAGGGTAATTGGTCGCGAAGACATTATTTCTTTCACTAGCCATATTTGGCAAATCATTGTTTGAAAAACTTTATCAATATTTTACAAACGTTTATACACAAACAACGAATCACGTGGATATATTCTGGCTATTACCACACGCGAGGATACAATCTTAAAATTATGTTAATCTTTAATATTTAAATACCTAATGTGATAGGCCTCCTGTTTATGATTTACCCTTTCTCGACTTACAATTTATTTTCGCTCTAATAAATCGGGTACAAACCTTTTCCTAAATATATAATAATTTTCAAATGGTCCAATCGTCTTTGGACCAGATGGCATCAATAAACGTCAGCGATAGTATATATGATAGACAATACAAGAGTAACGATAAAAAAATATTTTAAATTCGAGCGCCTCTTTATAGACAGAATACCATTTATATAATAATAAAAATGGTATTCTGTCTATAAAGAATAAATATTCATTATATCAAACATTCTACAGTGCAAGTAAAGTAAAATAGTAAATATATATTTAAATATCTCAAGAGTAAGTTTGCATAACTTATTTATAATCTTCAATTAAATTATAATTTGCAAAAAAATTCATTTTATAAATTTGGATCTAAATGATTTAGATTAAAACGAATAATTCGTCTCAAAAATTATTTGGAATACCCTTATTACATTCTTATCGGTACTCATTTCTTTATCACAGATCCATAACAATGGCTTTTAAAGTACTTTAGCAAGGTTTCCGTAAAAAACCTATACCATATGTATAAATATACAGTAAGTTGTGAATCGCATGCTCAAAGCCTGTTTTCTCACTACAATTTTGCTTGATTAGATATGTTTTCCTTATTTGCCAATAGGCCGATTTTGATGTTATCTTGTTTTGAGTCTTGACCAAAAAAAAAATTCAACCACGGAATCGAGGAACTTATTTCGTAATTCAGGGTTAGTTTCTATACAAAGTTTTCTTCTTTTTTCCTCGTGCCTTACTACTATTATACTGCCAAAATCTAATGAACTATGTGTCATACTCATCGAGCGTTTTCGATGATGATTTTGGTCATCTGTCAAAAGTTCTATAAATCCGTCGTTACCTTATGGGAAATTAATATGCTTATGCATTGCCTCATAATTCTTTAGGTTCCTTAGAATTCCGTTGCTTTATCTTTGTGAATAGAAAATTTTCATTATCAACTTTTGTGCGGATCGGAGAAAGGTCATTTATTGTATAAGACTCTTCTAATACTTCAAACTTTCTATTACTTCTGAAGCTTTCTTCGTCACACATGGTTTCAGCGGACATTTCTGTATCCGATATATTTTTTGACTCTATTATAGTGCACAATTTGGGAATTTTATGGAACGGTTTATTAGTCATTTCAATCTCCATTAGGTCCAATTTGTTTTCTACGATATTCAGTTTGTCAATTCTTTTATGCGACGAAACATTTGGTACCGAAGTGCTATATTGAACTGTATTATCATTAAGGGCTGACAATTTATGACATGGAGATAAAACAGAGTTATTACATCCCTTTTCCGTTTGAGAACTTGTTACTCTGTCATGTATACCGAAGATTCGCTTGATAGACTGGCGAAACTGAAGAAGAGAACATTATTTTTCTATTATACATATGTAGTTTACAATCCAAAAATATTAATAATCGTGTTAGATCAGCCTTCTTCATTCTTAGTACATTTTTCTGGAGCTTGAAAAGACGGCAAATATATTCCACGAAATATTCATGTCTTTTTTATTTGTGAAGGTGATAAGCAAGCTGGCGATTCACCCGATGGTAAGGGATAACCGCCGCCCATGGACATTTGCAACACCCGTAGGGTTGCAAATGTGTTGCCACCTTTTTATAAAGTGGCTCCCGGCTACCTCACTCACCAGACGGAACGCAGAAATATAATACTTCTACTTCACACCGGTCTTCTGTTAGATCGTGGAGCAGGTTTGTCTCTGGAAGTATCCTTAGACCAACCTGTCCATACGTGTTGCAGCGTAGACTGTTACGTAGCTCTACCACAGTGATGTGACGAAAATACTTCAGTTTAATCCCGAAAGTAAATTAGTAATCATACAGACCTGAGTGTTCATTCCCACGTAAATAAGAGGGTTATAGCAAATGGAGCTTTTCGCCACTAATGCAGGTATAACACTAGCACCGGGAGAAACCTGAAATTCAACCGTAATATTAACGATAATGGATGTCTTACACGTAACTAATCCAATTTTAATGAATTAAATGAAAATTTTTAAGTTTTATAAAAAATACTCGAAAAAACTAGCTAAATATCAATGTGTCTTTTATTTCAAAATTCTCGACACTTACGATGCCTTCTGTTGCAAATTGCTCCATCAGAGCAAAAACAGAATACGGTGTCCAAGAAATTGTGAATGATATGATCATTAAAAAGACCATAGCGGTCGCTCGTGTCTCTGCTCGGCTCACTCGGCCTAGTCGTTGTGAGTTCTGCAAAAAAAGCTGGGTTTGATAACAACAGGATAATTAATTGTGTTTCGAAATCAGCTTATTTTTTCTACTTTGGTTAAAATATTAAATATTTAAACTACTAACTTTTAAATATTAATATACTAACTTTTAAACATTGCCAGCATATTCATTAAACAAGCATAAATACATCCAGCGCATGAACTCCAGAATGGATTTATGTAAGCGTTTGTAACGGGTACATACGTATGTCTTTCCGTGATATTATGAATGTCTTCACAGCAACAGAAAAAAGCCTTGTACTGTGATCATGATAGAATAATGAGTTTACAATCATCTCCACTGATTATCTTACACCATGGTAGTCATTTTTTTCTTTTTTTCTTTATTGCTAACCTTAAGAAAAAAAGGTAACAAAGGGCGGACTTAATGCCCAAAGGCATTCACTACCAGTCACAGGATGTAGGGAAAGTTTATGGTAGGTGCAGCAAGGGATGTAAAAATTACAAAATATTAATAGAAAAGAAAATAAATTAATATATATGCATAGTTATAAATATAAGGAATATATAAAACCTAACATTTTAGATTACACTAAAGTAACGATAAAAATATATTAAAATATGTAGAAAAAGTGCGAAAAGATTGTCGCCGTTGTGGCTCAGTGGCTAGAGCGTCAGGCCGCGAATGCCGAAGACGTGGGTTCGATTCCCACAACGCGACCTCTTTTCGCACTTTTTCTACCACTGAGTTCAAACGGCAAAGATTAGCCTACACAATTTAAATTTATAAAAATATATGTTTATATATATAATTATATGTGTAAAAAAAATTAAAAAAAAATTAAACGCTATCCACTAAAGGTAACTTAATTTTTATATAAATATATGTTGATACTTATGAAGTCTATTGATTTAGTAAATGAACAGAAATGTATCCAAAACTATAACAAAAACTAAAGTTAAATAAAATAAAAGTTTTACTTCTAAAAACGTCGATTTTTACGATATACAGTTACACTATTTCAATAAATGGTTCGATTTATGACGTTACCTTCTTTAGTGTACGAATGATGTTTACGTAACTGAATGTAATAACAGCGAACGGCAAGATCTGCCCCATCGCGAACAGGAACAGTATGTACGTAAGTGTGTTCAACGACTGTTCGTGCCAATTAACCGAACAACTGAAAATGAGGAGAAAATTGAATGATACGGTAGTTCGAGTATTTTGTAACTTTGCATAATTTTATTTCATCATCATTGCAGCCTGTTTGAGTCCACTGCTGAACATATGCTTCCCCCACAGACTGTCACGAAACACGATCCTGAGACACCTGCATCCATCGACTTCCCACACACTTGCACAGGTCGTCAATCCATCTGGGTGGTCCCACACTGCGATGGCCAATACGAGGCTGCCACTCGAGAACTTTCTTCCCGAACAGTCATCGGTTCTACGAGCTATATGGCCGGCCCGTCGCCATTTCTTATCAATTTCATGTACTAAAAAATATTTTAAATCGATAGAGAAATGTCATGATGAAGGCGCTTACTTTTAATAAAAAACCGGCCAAGTACGAGTCGGACGCGCGTAAAAGGTTCTATAAAAAACTGAAATAAATCATGTCTGCTGTATGGGAGTCCCACTTAAATATTTTTAATTTGTTTTTATTATTTTTTATTATAGCGATAACAAAAATACATCATCTGTGAAAATTTCAACTGTCTGTCTAACTATCACGGTTCATGCGATGGGTGACAGACGGACACACAGACAGCGGAGTCTTAGTAATAGGGTCCCCTTTTACCCCTTAGGTACGGAACCCTAAAAATGGCTTTTATTTTCACTGCCATTTTTATTGAGTTCAAAATATAAATAAAATGATCGGGCAATATTTAGACTACTTAGATACATTAAATATGCTAATATCGCTTTCCAAAATCGTTTACAAAGTTTTTGAATAATTTTAATTAATTTATAATTTTGCACACAGATTACTCGTAGTTTATGGTTTATTTAGAACTGATTGACTAAGTTCATTAGATGATTTAGATGTATGTTTTTATTTATCCAGCGTCCCGGGAATAATGTCATATAAATTAGGTTCAATATTATTTTTCTCTTATTGTTTTTCTCTTAAATTACTGCCAAAAAGAATACAATCAGTATTCTAGTCATCCAAGCAGCAATAAGGTGACCCATTGCTGAATCATAATCAATAACGTAACGAAGCTAACTAATGTGAACAGGTGATTCTATAATACATAATTATTGTAATTATAATAGGCACCTTAGAAAAAAGTAATGCCTGCCAACGTATTGCTCTATCAAGTAATCCTCTTGTCTTGCGATTAGACTAGAATTGTGTAAAGTGATTAAAGAAAAATATACACTATTTGAAATAACATCAACGATATCAACGATTAAGTTGAAAAATTTTACGTGAATAAACAAAAAAAGTTGTTGCGTGTACACTGATACGAATAACAAATGACGCGAATGTCTATCATCGGTCTCTTTGTCAGATTTGGACAGTTTTTGTTACAGTTTATGATACTAGAATAATGAAGTCCTTTACATTAAACTTACGCATTACTTACATATAAAAATTAATAGTTCTGTACAAATTTCAAAACAAATTTTTATGGAGAGCGCTTTTTATAGATAGGAAGAAGTGTACAAAGAGGATGAAGTTAAATAACTGACATGACACGGTTTTCGCTCCGAACCCAGCCTCCTCGCTGGGCCTAGGGCTCCGGAACCTACACGGGGGGTCTGACGAACGCGTGCCGCCATCGCGCGGCGCCGTAATGATATTATACTTAATGTTATAATTGTTTCTCACTCACCACGACACCGATGATCTCGTCGTATCGCCGTTTAGCAGGGGAGGTTTCAGGGTGAGGATTTGGCGGGAAAGTGGGGAATGCTGATGTACGGCGTAGGGGCGCGGCCGACACGTGGATCTATCTTCCGGCGCGCGAAAAGAGCCGTACCACAACTCCTCAATTGTCCTTATCAGTCGAATAATATTGTACGCTGGCGATTGCCAAATATAATATTGATTCTCCGTAACCGTAATGTTTTCCGTTCTTATAAACGCCCGAGAGCATTGGCGTATTCATTGAAAACCGCCAAAAAAGAAAAGAAGAAGAAGAAGAAGAAGAACGCCCGAGAGTTAGAGAAAGTCCGTCAAGTCAAAGGGGTCGAGACAAGTTTGACAGATGTCGCGAGAGAGTGACGTGTCCGGTGTTGCCGTCGTAAAACGCAAAAATAAAACAGATTGGTTTCGACACACGTTATGGAAGTTAATGAGCTCATTGAAATCCTTATTCAAATTAAAAGTTGAACCTGTTATTGTAACTAGACCTTAATATACTTTTATTTTGCTCCATAAATACTTTGGGGTTAATATTATGTTTTAGTTATAATGTGTACTGATTGTCTAAGTACATTTTATTCTGCTGATTCTGAAGTTTTATTTTTGAATTGTCGTACCTTATATTTGCCGCCTCATTCACGTAATTACCCCAACCAAAAAGTGGTGGAGTGGTCAGAGCTAAGGAATAAGCCCATATGAAAACAACTAACATTATGGCACCATTTGAAGTGAGATGCCTTGAGCTAAATGGTCGTGTTACCATCATGTACCTTTCGAAAGATATCACCGTCAGAGTTGTGATCGAAGTTATCCCTGAAAACATAATTAATGTGGAGATACACGAAAAATGTTCATTCATTTATTTAACACTTGTAATAGCTATTTCCCAACTAGACAGAATTTACCATCAAAATACAATAAAAAACATTTAATTAGGTTAGATTTTCAAGATTTGATAATGAACATTACATGCATGACGTAATCGCTTGGGAAGCGTAGATTGACGAATGATACAATCTTATATAAACAAAATATATTCTTATTTCTATCGCTGAATTAATTAATACAACTGTTGATACTGAATGAACTCAGACACAAAATTACAAATTCCCATTAGGTCAAAGCCATTGAGTTAAAAATAAAATCTTTAACTCAATGGCTTTGACCTAATGGGATTAAAAAACTCAAAAAAACTAACCTAGTAATGCCATAAAAAATCCGTAAAGCACGCACATAGAATGTCCGAATATCCAACGATGGAACAGAGCAGAAATAAGAGTGAAAGGATTTCCCAAAAATGATACAGAGAAGTCCGAACAGACTAAATTAAAAAGTATTATATTCAACGGCGTCCAAAGCTGAAACAACAACAATTGTTACTAAAATCTCGTTAAATACGTTAAAACCAGGTTACAATTTGTGAACTGACGAAGATAAGAAAGAGATAATAGTGGCATTTCAAACTTGATTATTTATGCTTTACTTTTGCTGCCTTTTAAGCTGAGATTTATTCATATGCATTACGTTAAATTACTAGGATTACTACAAACTATCTATTTATATGTATTGTGGTTAAAACCAAACTATCTATTGTTTAATTAAGGACAGTCTGAATATTCCATCCAAATTAACGTTAAGATACGAAGCAAAACTTGTTAACTCTCATCACGGAACAGCAGTTTTAAATGATTGATTTACTTACCTGACGATCCTTGAACATAATTAAGATGACCATGAGGTTGAGGAAAAACCCGAAAAATCCTATCAGGAACAACACGAAGGCTGATGCAACGTAACCCCATCTCGGCATCAGTAGAGGGAATTCCTCGTAGTGCCCCATTAAAGTACCGTTGAACTGCACCGAGTAAAGAGTCATAGTCACGTAACTTGAGTAACACTTGGTCCCAATTACAGCCGGTGTCCATATAGATAATATCTATACCGCATATTGTGCGGTATAGAACTTGAGCATGCGATAATCAAGTCATGTGCCTATGTTTGTGGTCCATCTGTAAAATAAAAAATATCATTGAAAATGTTACTTGAAATTTGTTTCAAATTACTGAATGGCGTGAAGTACATATTGCTAAAAATGCAAGAAAGAAATTATATATAGAAAAAAAGTCGGGAGGAATTGGTTATGGGTTCGATTTTCATACAAGACAATTATTGTTTGTATTCGTTGTTCCGGATCTAATTTATTTTTTACATTTTCTATTCTCATTTGTACTTTCTGTACTAAAATATAAACACGTTATAAGGTCTTAAGTTTAAAATCGGATCACAACTCTTTGTATTTTTGTAGTCTTAACAGTAAGTTACGTAGGCGCCAATTAGCATTAAATAAGATACGTAAATAAAATGTATATACAACTTAGTGATCCCTTTTGTTGGTCTTAATTTAATGTATGCGTTTTGGTAATTACGGTTTAAATACATTTTAAGGCAAGCCTCCGGTCACAACAATATCCCTAAAGTCTAAAATACCGTCAGTATTTGATCAGATAAATTTAAGCAACACCATCCAAGAAGTCTATGTCAACACTTAAACACAATAAAGTTACCACTACTACTAGAAGAAACTTGAAGTTTCCGTGCTCATTTGCCACGTGTGTATATTGAGAAAATTTATTTTTTCTTCGAAACGATTAGATTGTGTTTTGGAAAGGAATGTTTGTTATTATTATTAAAACCATTACAGGAACAATTTGGCTTGTAGAAACAAAACTGAGGACATAACATTTGGTATCTGTATTAATAAGTAAGCTAACATTAGAAATTCTTACACAAACGAATCATTTTATATGTCTTGGTTCTTAATTATCAATTATGTTTAAACCTTTTTTAAATTGTAAATCTTTGTAGATAAATTAACAAAAACTTGCGGCTCTGTGGGATTTGAACCTTTTGGTTTCGTCCCCAGACGCTTTACCCACTAAGCTAAGCGGCCAATGACTTCATAGAAACTTTACTAGCACTATAAATAAAAATAAATCTTAAAAAAACAGTAATAAAATTTAAATTATTGCCAGAATATAAAAGGATAACTCAGCATGTGGTAAATTATTTTAATTATTATAAATAACGTTTCATAAGAACAAAATATAAATTTCTACATTAATAATATACCTATGTCAAACGCTTGTTTCGTAATATCTGTTAAAAATTGTACAAGATAATCCGAAATGCACAGTACACGTTGTGAGAGTGCTCAATGATAAGGAATTGTCAAGTATGTCTTATTAGCATTTAAACCACAATTCTTAACCACAAATCCGCTACGCCGATGTTATCTAACTATAACTAACTAATATTAAGTATTAAAAAAACTAAGAGTCTATACTAACGTACAAAATTGATGCATATTCATTAAAATTGGAGCAAAAATAAGAAACAGTTACAAGTAGTTAGCTGCGTGTACATCTATAAGTAACGAATATATCAAACGTATAAACATTATCCAACTGAATAAAGATTAAATGTGGATGTGACATTTGAAAAGTTGCCACTAATGTAATTACTGATTAAGTTTTCTCATCATCATTTGAGTCCACTGCTGAACAAGGCCTTCCCCATAAACTGCCACGAAGTACCACCCTAAGCCACCTGCATCCATCGACTTCCCGCACATTTGTACGGGTCGTCACTCTATCTAGTGGTGGGTCGTCCTAGACTGCGATGGATTTTAACTAAATTAAATTGATAATTTGCCGGATGTGTCGGATGTGGGATTTTCCTCTTAAACTACATTTCCGCATTATATCGAGAACCTTATAATAGCCATGAGATCTAACGTCACCTTTTCCGACAATATTCCTATCATCCATCCGATTTGTTAATTCACTTGAAAATACTGTTGAATATTACTTCAAGAATTTTTCGGCCCCCGAGAGATTAGCGCAGTCCATTAGCTACGAAGACGGAGCGCGATGAACCGTCCTACTGGATTATCTTGCATAGAAATTCCCTTGCTGTAAATATACGAGTATCAAGAGAAACATGACTTAAGTTGGAAAATTAGATGAGGAAGATTAGCAATCGTATGCTGATTGCTTGGTTAGTACCAAGAAATAAAGGCACATGTGCCATTGCCTAAAGTGACTATTAAATATGTAAGTCTCTGCCCTTGTATAGTGCAAACACATAACTGTTTCCTCCATATATAGCTATCAAGGGCCATACAAGTATACTTTGCTTTTATATTGAACACTTTATATATTTTGTAGCTACCCGCCCCGGCTTCGCACGGGTGCAATGCTGAATGTTTGTTTTCGAAATCACCTTAGAAATTCTTCCTATTGAATCACTCTATCTATTAAAGAAAACCGCTTCAAAATCCGTTGCGTAGTTTTAAAGACCTAAGCATATATAGGGACAGACATACAGCGGGATGAATTTGTTTTATACTATGTAGTGATATATTTCTGCCATGTCTAAATCCATTAATATTATACCATTTAATACGTAAATAAATGACTTAGGAAACAGATCGAACTATATTCGATCACATTAAGCTATATAAACAATCAATGTAGAACAATAAATTTATATTAATTATACTATTAAACTGAAAACTTGATATATAACGAATGAATTATACTTTTGAATAACTTGTAATGTTTTCTTTTTATTTTGCAAGCGAGCAGTTATTCCTGTAATGTTAAGTTGTGACTGCCGCCAACGGACATCTACAAAATTGGGTTGCAGACGCGTTGGCAAACATTAGGAAAGTGGGCGCGCCGGCCCATTTGTGCAACAACAGAAGTGCTGCGTGGCTCTACTACAGTTATTTGATCAACCCATTATATTTTGCACGATTGAATAAAACTATATTATTTTAAAATTAGAAATTTGCGCTACGCAGTATGTCTTATAGTTTTGATATAAGTTGATCCGTTAGTGTTTCTTTTAATTATTTTATTATTTTATTCTTTAAACAATGCCCTTACTTTTAGGATAACATTATCCTGTGTTTAACGCACGTTTTACAAACATAAATTTCATGTGGACAAACACCCAGATACGAAACAACTATCTGTGAGTCACACATATGGTTGTCCCGTGTGGGAATCGAACCCACGACCCCCGATGCGCAAGCCAATACCTTGGTAACTGCGCCACGGTGTCATCAAATTGCATTTCTATTTTGATGTCTCATATTTTATTTCTTTCTAAAGCTGTGACACTTTATACGTTATTAAACGGTTTTATTTAGCTCGACACGTTTATTTATTTGGGTCAAAATTAGAAATTGAAATTTAAGCACCTTCCCGTTGTCAGATTGATCTGAAATTTGGTACACACATTTAATTTAGATGACAATACAATATTGTAGTTTTCAGTCCACAAAAAAAAACAGAAAATAAAACCGTTTAACTTAAAAGTTTTTAAACGGTTTTATAATGAAATCATATAATATATAAAATTGTCGTTTCACGGTGTTTGCAATTGAACTCCTCCGAAACGGCTCGATCGATTTTCGTGAAATTTTTTAATAATATAATAATTATATGCTTTACAAACAGTCATTCTTTCAATTTCAACTCGACATCAATGTTTTTACTGCTTGAGAAACCTAAACAATTAAATAAAAGTTGATTACATTACGACGTAGACCTCCTTAAAAACATTTTTTTTTAATTATGACAATCATGGCATGAAGTAATGTTAATCGTAACAAATGGAAAACGAATTACACCTGAAAAATAAGCTTCTCTAATTGCCTTAGCAAATTAAGTCTGAAGTTGTTTTTTTTTTCTTTCTCATTTAACTTTATTCATTATAAATTACTTGACAATAAAGATTACATCACCTCGTTAATGAAATGACAGATTTAAAATGCAATCCAATTTTTATCTCATTCCTTTCCGCCTTTAAAATTACTTAAGTTTATATTAAATAACTTACTACCTTTTTTATCAGGGCATAAGAGGTAGCCGGGCCAACTTTATTAAAAGGTGGCAACATCTCTGCATCCCTACAGGGGCTGCAAATGTCAATGGGTGGCAGTAATCAATTAACATCAGGTGGTAGGGCCACGCAGCAGCGTCGGCTGTTGCACGAATGGGCAGGCTCGTCCGGGTTAGTACCACGACCTCACAGAAGACCGGCGTAAAGTGGAAGTATAATACTTTCGCGTTTCGTCTTGTGAGTGAGGTAGCCGGAGCCCAATTTTCAAATAGGTTGTCAATGAATCTGCAAACCCTCGGGTGAAGCAGATGTCCATGGGCGGCGGTATTCACTTAACATCAGGTGAACCGTCTGCTCGTTTGGCAACTTTTTACATAAAAAAATCTAGGCCCAAACACAAGATTCCTTTAAGATACAGTTAGTTCCCCCTGCATAGATCGGACATAAAATTAATAATTCAAAAACTGACGGTAGCCCGGGCAATCAGACGCCTCAGTCTGTCCCGTGACGATGAACGCTGTAAAGGGTTCCAAACGTCGGGAATTAAAATTAAAAATAAACGCGATAAATCCGTAAAAATGAGTTTCATTTGTAATGTGGATATCTTTTTAAGAATATTGCGCAAAAATATCAATATGACACAGATAATGTATATATAGAGAAGAAGTGCAGAAAGGGAGAGTCTATAATATACAGTATGTGTTACAAATACGTAAAACACATAGAATAAAGATTATTGCCAAAATATAACAATTCAATATGTATGTAGGTTGGTATAATAAACGTTTGACTTTAATCAATGAGCGACAGCCATGGGTTTTAGATACTAATATATATATATATTTATATTTTGATAAATTAATATATTAATATATTTATATTTTGATTAATAATAATATCAACGATGAAGTACCAATACCTTCTAACTTTGGTCTTATCCAAATATAGTTTTTAGTACCTAACAAT